CAGTCATCAACAGGTGGGTGCCCCTTTTTTCGTTTTCCTGCTTTTTTTTTTTTTTATTAAATTTGTCCCCCGACATCTTAAGAAAACTCTAGACCCCGATGTAGCCACTGAACTACCCACCTGTTAAGTAATTTTAAGTAGGAAAAAAACCCTTTTTCGTCAAAATGTGTTTATATACTCTTTTATTTGATTTCATTCTTTTGGCTAAATATCATTGTTATCCGGCCGGATATAGTCCGACCTTGACCCTATTAAAAAACTTGTGGCAACTTTGGAAAATTTTTTTCTGTGAGGCCCCGTGAAAAAAAAAGGAACAATTGAAAAAAAATTTTTTTTCCCGGGGTTCATATTAACGAAGTAAGAGCTTAAAACTATTTTCAGCTGAATGAAATATAGATGTGAAGCTGTAATAAAGAATAAAGGCAACCTCCCTAATCTCTGATATCTCTCTATCATCAGTATCTAATGTATATCGATAACTTTTTCTGCCTTGCAAATATTTGAATTTTCTTTTTTTGTATTGAATTTGGTATTAAATTTTCTTTAAAAGGATATAAAATACTTTTAGAGTTGTAAAAAAAAATTTTCTATAAGATACAAACTTAAAAAAAATAAAAATTTAAAAAAGTTCTTAATTTTAGTCCCCTCTGTATATAGGTGATAAAGTTAAAGCAAAAAAATATTAATAACGGAAGATAAGAATTTATTTTGGGAACGCCATTGCACGTGCAAATGTCGTACATCACGTTTTTTAACCTGGCATCGTTGTCGAATTTATTTCATTGTAAACTGAATATTATGAAAAAAATTAAAATTTTTTTTAGTATTTAGTACTGAAAATTTTAAAAATTGTTCTGTTAGATTATTTTTTCAATATATTTATCAAGAAAAAATAATTGCGAAAAAAAAATTTACGTACAAAATTTTTTTAAAAAATATAAATTTTCTAATAATTAAATTTAGAAAATTTTTCCCGCAAAAAAGTTTTAAAATATAATTTTTGAAAAAAATTAAATCCCCGGATTTTATTTATTTTAATCCGAGTTGAAGAAACGACGGATCTCTCGGGCCGCAATCCCAATAGGTTGGAAACAGGATTTTGTTTTCATGTGACAAAAACGTCACATGTATTTAGCCCACTGTAATTTGCGTTTAGGACGCCAAGTTGTTCGGTTTTTCGGAGTTTTACTTTGAAAATATTTAAAATTTGAAATTCCTTTTTTTTAAAAAATAATCAAATAATTTTTTTTGAATAAATTATTGTGAAAAGTTTTATAAGATTTTTTGAAGTTCTTTTGAAAAAATTTATATTTGATATTATTATTTTTAAATAAATAAAAAAACCCAAAATTTTTTTTCTCTGAAAGAATTTTACTTATAAAAACTTTCTTTTTTAATGATTCACAGTTCCTGCGCATTATTTTTGAGCATAATAACACGATGCATAAAATAACGATGGAAAATTAGATATCAAGAATATTTTTTTGTTTTTTGAATAAGAAACGAAGATTGTAAAAAATATAATATTTCAAAATAAGACTAGAAAAAAAAGTACGCGTGCTTTACGGTGTTGATGGAGATCAGTCAGCAAGAGTAAAATATAGTGTGTCCCATTGTCTTTAAAATTTAACATGTAATTTCCCAAAAAAAGCGCCACAAGATAAAGAAAATGAAAAACTTTCGAAATTTTCCTGTGGTAAAAACTTTTTTGTATTCTGTTTTGATCTTCTAAACAAAAATTTCCAAAAAAAGAAGTTTATTTTCTAAAAAAAAGGATTTTTCGGTTTATGTATAAAAAATTTACTTAGGGAGTTACTTTTTATAAAAAATTTTTCACCTGCAAATGATTTTAATATTAAATGTTCTTCCAAAGTTTTTAATTTTTAAATCTATTTGGATAAATGCCAGTTTTACTTGTTTGGAATTATTTTTTAAAAAGTTTCCTTCCAAATTTTAAAGTTGAAGAAAAAATGAGCAAATATAATTTAGGTTAATGTTTCTTTTTTTTTTATTGATAAAGAATACTTTTGCTGATTTTTCGCAATGCAGTTTTAAAATTTGAGTTTCCCACCTTTTTTAAAAAAATTTTAAAGAATGCTGATTTGGTATTTGGGGTAGAAAGTTTTAATATTTTTTAAAGAAATAGACTTAAGTATATTTCAAAACTGGGGCATAATATTTGTAAAAATGATATTTTTGGGAAAAAAAAATTTATAAAATCGCTGAATTTAGTTAAATGTAATTTATTTTTTTTTAAAATTCCTTTTGAAGGCTATTGAAAACTATCTTTTTATTAATTTCTCGCTATTAGTTCATTCTTCCCTTATATATATATATATTGTTTTTATATATATATATATCTTGTTAAATTTTAATCGTTGTAAATCTTTCTATTCATTCATTCACCCCAAAAACACTTTTTAAAAAATTGTAGGGGTAACACTTGATGTTAATACATTTTTTTTAAATGTTAACTCATTAATTAAATTAAAAAATGAATAAAATAGCAAAAAAAATAATAGTCCAACAGCATATGGAAAAGGGAAAAAAAGTTTGTTGTGTCCCTGTAGCGCAATGGATATCGCGTTGGATTTCAAATCCAAAGGTTGTGGTTTCGAATCACACCTGGGATGGCCTAATTTCTGAGAATGTGTTTTCTTTTTTACTTTTCTATTTTATTAGAATAATTAAATTTAATGAATGAATAAATAGTAACAAGCAAAAAAAGAAAAAATCCTACACCCTATATAGAAAAGAAAATGGAAAATTACAAGGAAACCGCTTTCTATTTTGTCACTTAATATTGTGATTCTATCATATGTATATACATATTTATATTAATTGTAACTATTTAATAAAAAGTAACTAAAATAAAATTTTTTTTTGTTGACCCAAGTTGGAATTGACTTAATTTTTTTTTATATTACTTGTTTTCAACTACGTTCAATTGGCTAGAAAGACACCGGGTTTCTTTTCTCGTCAGTTCTCTGATGCGATTTCCAATCTGTGGCCACAATATCCATGTGGTCATAGTCACATATTCGTAGCCGCTGTTGTTAAATTTCGTACTACCAAAGAGGGGAATGCTGCAAATCTGTCCGGGCCCTAAGGCCCCACGTTGACTGAGTATGAAAGAAAGGAACGTGTAAAAGTCACCAAGCGTTGACATTGCCACGTGGAAAAAGCCCCCAAAAATTAGATTTTTGTGGAAGATCCAAACCCGGGCCCCTTTTGTTCCAAACCCGCCAACCCGCCAAAACGATCGTCTTCGCGTGATGTCAAGTACTGGTTTATTTGGGGTCCGCACACTACTCCCCCAAACCAGTGAGGTGGATTGGCGAACGATTTTTTTGTTTTTTCCCCTGAGAGCGTGTTTATTTTTTTTTTTTCTTCTTTCCTTACTTTTTTTTTCTTTTTTCTTTTTTTTAAATTTTTTTATTCTTTTTTTGGGGTAGATGGCGCAACGAGAAAAAGTTCAGAAAGCGGTGTTCTTTTTTCCCAGTCAACGGGTCACCAATGTAGGTAGATCCGAATCGGGCATTTTCCGGAACGCCAGTATTTTTCGATCACGCCAAAACGATCGTTTTGCGTGAGGGTCTAAGTACTGGTTTATTTAGATACCCGAACAAGCTCCTTCACCAAAGCCATGGGTTTCCCCCCTTAAAAAATGCGTCGTTTATAAACATTAAACCAAACGTTCACACCCCCACCAACTTTGAGCCCCCAACAGATTTAATGCGCACACTGTTACACTACACTCCGCAACAAGGGCCCTTTCACAAGCTCGCGAACATGTGCAAAATCTTGAAAAATCCATGTCTTGCAGAGAAAAAAGAGAGAGAGAGGGGTATTAAAAAATTTTACAAAATTATGTAAACAGAAAAACAAGCACAACCAGCTCAATTGCACGTGAACATTTACGGGTTCGACACCCCTCAATTATATTCTCTATGGCTAGTAATTGTATTGAACTAAAAATCTATTTTTTTGATGGTGAATTTTCTGCAAAGGTCTTAGGTAATATTTTTTACTTTTTTATTCCTGTTTACGTAAATGTTTTCCCGGGGAAAAAAAAGTTGCTGATGAGGGGTGGGGGGGGGAAAATAAGAAGTCCGGGTTTGGGAAAAAGGATATTCAGTTATTATGATAAAAAAACTGCATTAGGACACAATTTAGCGCGGGCTATTAATTAAATTTTACGCAAAAATATTCCCGGCTTCACTATTAAAGGGGTTTTTGGTTCAATTCTCGACAGTACTTCAATTGCGGATGAAGCGGGATTGTTTTTGTCGTTTTGAAAAGTCTTTACAGGGTCTCGTAGTGTGGTGATGTCATGGTATGCAAATTTAAGAATATAAGTCTCACACATGTAGTCGATCAAAAATTTCGCAAGCAAATTTTCGGTAATAAAATACTCAATAAATATTTTAATTTTTTTAAAAGATATCTTAAAACAAAGAAAATATGGTTTTTATATAAAAAAAAGTGATAAAAAAAAGTATGTGTGCTTAAGACTCCACATGAAAGGGTAACTGCAAATTTTTTAACGGGTTTTTTCAGGGTTACTTCGGTGAATAAAAACAAGGGGTATTTGTATTGTCCTATAAAATTATTTATTCACATGTCTGTACTCATAAAAGTAATACTTTTGTGCCAAAAAAATATACAAGATATTTGTGAATTCATTATTTTAAGAAGGAAACAATAGGTTTATGGTAGCTGAATTAGGTTATAAATTTTAGATACAAAATTTTTTTTTAAATATCTATAAAAAATCCGTCAAGTGTTGTTTTGTACTTCCTCGTGCTTTCATTTTGGGTCATTTGGGCATAATTAAACAGAAGGTATCTTGTAACTTCCCCATCTTTTTTTTCACGTGATTTTTAAAAAGCGATGTTTATTTTGTTATGACATATTTTTCCGTGAAAAAAATCTCAATTTGAAAAAAATAATTTTTCCCAAGTCATCCGTGATTTTTTCGATAAAATCAAAAATTCCCAAAACATGGCGACTATCTTCTTTTTTCAAAAAATCATTTTTGTAGGATTATACAGCTATGAAACATCAACAGCAAATAAATTGCTTCCAGAACCAATAAAAAAAGGGGTTTCGTAATTTTTTGAGAAAAAAATTATGAGAGAAAAAGTGTGGTATGTTTTCTTTTTTTTGTACTTCACTTTGCTTGTTTATTTCATGTGTTTATTGGGGTTTGTGAAAAAGTACATGTAATAAAGGAAAATGCCGAATCATCATAAATAGAGACCTTTAACCGGGGCTCCCGTAAAATCATCGTGATCATACTTTTCATCGTCCCAAAAAAGTCTCCGGGCTCATAAGAAGACAAAAAAGTTAATATCAATCGAAAAGAAAAGCAGTTTCCCAAAAATTAACAAGATTAAAAAATCACAATATAAACATTTGACAGCCTCAAAAATGTCTATGCAAGAGTTGAAGAATTTAAAACCCCCTTTTTGAATTGTCAAAAAAAAATACAAAAACATTAACTTTTTGTAAATTTTTTAAAAATTAAAATCGTATAAAACAAAAACTCATTCTTTTATTTATTGATACAGTGTGATTTTTTAACAGGTCACGGGGTCAATAAACAGGGGAATAGCTGGATTTTTCTTTTTTTTTTATTACACTTTTAAATTTTGTACTTATGAGAGTAATTTTCTGGTGCCCAATCCAGAATTGACCGTAATCCAGTGTTTCAAAATGTGGGGCGCCCCCGTGGGGGGCGATAACCTTACGAGGGGGGCGCGAGCATATCGGTAAAAGATTTTAAAAATAATTAATTTCCTAAAAGAATAAAACAAAAAAAACTTTCAGACATAATAAAAAAAGCACTTTTTTCTCTGATATAATTTTAGGCTATATTAAGTCCTCAAAAAAAAAAACTTCTTCAATACCTAATTACTATCTTGACCCCCAAACCAAATAAAAATTTTTTTATTTGATTTGCTATAATCCCATGATGAAGTTTTTTTATTAAGTTTTTTTTTTAAATCATACTCTTTCAAAAAAACAAATGAAAATTTAGGAAAATAAAAAAACCATCACTGTGATTATTTTTGAAATACCCCCAAAGCTGTAATCTGTTTTTGTGATAATCTGTTTGACCTTCTGTTATTGGTACAGAAATTTTGACCCCCCTCTTATGTGTTTGTTTCTCATCCGGGAAACTGTAAGTAATGTATTTCTCTCTGTTGCACTCTTCTCCATGCAAAAAAAGTTTTAATATTTGGAAACCACGGAGATTTTTAAGGATTACTTGGGGAAAACTTTTTTTTAGTATTTCAAGCATATAAAGCAAAAAGAAAAAAGTTTTAAAAATAAAAATAAAAGAATACACTTTTACCCGGAAAAGGGCAACACAGATCCGAAAAATTTTTCGGCCTGTTTATTTGTTGCCAAAGAAAAAAATTTAAAAGTCCATGGTAGGTAAAATTTCTTTCTTAAAATTTAAAATTTTTCACTGAATCCGATTTGTATGAGTAGAAAAAATAAAAAAAAAAAAAGGATTGGGGTAATCAATAACCCCCTATATCGAGGGCGTGCCTGCTCCCGGTAAAATCTTTTCGCTTTAAATAAAAATCACAATTTTTTTCATCGAATTTTTATTATTGTTCATTACTTAACGTCAATTATAAATGCTAATTTGTAGGCTTAAAATTAAACGCTTAAAAAATAATTATAATTTGACAATCATTTTAAAAAACATTTACATTTTGTAAAAAAATTTTCGCGCCGGTTTACCCCCACAATTCAGCTATTATATCAATATGTTTATTTTTTTTATAAATGTGTTCAAGAAGCGGACCTTTAGCCGGTATACTTTAATGTATCGGTTTGTGTGGTCTGCACAAGTTTTTTTAAATATATAATTAAATAATACTAAAAAAGAAGGGCTTGTCTTCAAGGCTAAGTTTTTTTTTAAGAAATGCTTATGATTAGAAATTGA